AACCTCAGTGACATGAAGTGCGAAAACACGATATTGAGTAACTTCAGTATCTCAAAAACATATTTAAACCAAATTATAACAGAGCTTGACATAACAAAATTGCGGGACCCAGATGGCTCCCACCAACTTTCTACCAGCGAACTGCCAGAAAAATGAGCACAATTTTGCATTGCGTTTTTAAAAACATCAAGAGGGTAAGGAAAATACCAGATAAAGGGAAAGTTGCGGCTGCGTCGCCTATTTACAAGAAAGGTGATAAACGACTAATGGAAATCTACCGGCCAGTGTCACTCCTAAATATCATGGGTAAAATCCGGCAAAAATGCATGTATCCACTGCTGTTCGACCATTTCATCAAATTTCTCACAAGAAATCAGCACGGTTTTGTTAACAAAAACCGTTCAGTTATTACAAACATGTTATCTTTCTTGAAAGAAATCTACAAAGCAATTGACAACAACGCTGAAAACCATGTGATCGAATTTTATACTGACTTCTCTAAGGCATTCGACAAAGTCCCGCTCTACGAACTACTACAGAAAACTAGCAACATTGGAGTTGGAGGCTGTTTCCTAGAAATAATCTCAGACTTTCTCAGCAACAGGAAACAATTTGTTCGTGCTGACAATTTCTCGTCAGAAACTTTAGAAATTACAAGTGGCGTACCACAAGGATCGTTGATTGGTCCATTATTCTTCTGCATCTTCATAAATGATCTTCCTGAAGTATTGAAATTTAGTGACCCATTTATCTTTGCACACGACCTAAAATCACTAGCAGTGAATGTAGACACAAAGGACATCCAGCAGGATCTAAAAAGCGTTGAAAACTTGGTAGACAAAAACAAAATGAGTCTGGCACTGGACAAATGTTTTGAAGTAGATTTTAGAGGAAATCAACACGAAGTGTTTCTTTGTGAAACAGCAGTGGAAAGCCCGAATGTGATAAAGGATCTAGGAATACATGTGTCCAAACATTTAACATGGACAACCCATATTGACCCAAGAATGTCGAAAGCGAGTAAAACGTTCTATTGCATCCGCAGAAACTTAGAATTCAAAGTCAAAATGCGCATAAAACTTGGTCTGTACAAATCCTTAACACTTCCTGTTCTAACGTATGGTCTTATTATTTGCAATTTCTCAAGAAACGACTTAGGGAGATTAGAGAAGTTCCAAAAGAAAGTCTTAAAATGGATCAGGGGAAACGGTTCTGCTTACACAGAGCAGCTGAGATTGTTAAACATCCTGCCTCTGGCGTTGTTTCTCCAGCTGAACGATTTACTGATGATGGCGAAATTCATGCATGAAGAAAACGATCACATCAAGCTCCCGGCAAAAATTGAAAGTCCAGGAAAAACGAAAGAAATTTCCAACCTAAACAAGACGAGAAAAGAAAAAGCTAGAGGAGAGTATACATCCTTGACGTGCCGTCTAATAAACCGACTAAATCAGAAAATTGAGTTTCGAGAAATGTGAGGCTTAAAGCGAAGATTGATACAGATGATGTGGAAGTTTCTCGACGATCAATTCTCAGAACAAAACAAGTCCTCATGTGTCCTCTTCTGTGACTGAAATTAACTGGACAAAATTTTGAGAACTTTAGGATTTTGACCCAAAAGTATCCTATTGAAAATTCACAACAACAACAACAAAATCAAAGTTGTAAAAATATTCAATTAAGTTCTACATAATTTTTTTGGTTCTTATAGCAGATATGGTCACTAATCGTTTTTTTGAACGTATTTCGCATTCAATTTCTTCCAAATAAAAGTCAACGGCATTCTGGTCGAATGGCACATAATGCATAGTTTTCAGTAAAATTTACAAATGAGATTTGGTTTAGATTTGACACCATTAATTGTTATTCAGAGGTCCTAATTCAGATTGCGGTCTGTGTAATAATAATCATAATAATCTTAATAAAAGAGAAGTTAGGGTAGCAACCCGGGGTAGATATTCCGAGTTCCAGTTTTCCAAAGTTCATTTGAGTTTGTGTTGATTTCTGCAGTTCTGACAATTACATGTCAGTCTCCAGGAGCATATATCTTCGAGATTATTTTTATTGACAAAATAGTTTTTGTAAACTGCCGTGATTTTTTTTTGGATTTTCCAATTCGTCCAGATTTATCCCTATCTTTTGAGCAACTGTGTTTGCTAAGAATGTACCTCTTGTCCAAAAGTCACTGTTTTGTTTCTTCTTCAACAGAATAAGTGTTTTATGGAACTTCAATTCCTGTGCTCTCGTGTTTTGTTCTGATTTGTTTTGTACAAGAACAAAAGATTCCCATTCAATAATATACCTGCCTTTCACTATGTCGACAAATGTCAAAAAAACGTGCATTTCGTGATGCAAGGATAGTCGTAGAATCAAAAGTCGTTTTAATCTATCTTTATAGTCTAATCTATTGGTACCAAGGATCCACTTCGAAGCTTTTTCCTGAAGGTTTTCTATCATTCTCAATTCTGATTTATTTGGTTTCCAAAGAATTGCACCGTATGATATGATTGGGACAATGAAGCTCCGGTAAATATTCTTTTTTGCAATCCAACATGTACCATTAGCGATGTTTCGTTTTATAGTGAAAAATATTTTGATTGCTTTCTCACATCTTCTTTCGGGGTTTGCAGTCCATGTCAAGTCGTTCAATACAATTATTTCAAGATCGTTTTCCTTCTTTTTTTGTTCAAGTGTCTTTCCATTCATTGAAATACTTCCGTTTCCGTTTAAGCTTAGCGTTTTACATTTGTTGATGATCAATGTAATCAAATTCTGGCTACACCATTTCCATATTCTGGTCGCGTCATTTTGTAGAGTGATCGTGTTGGTAGCAATAACTTTATAATCATCCGCGTGTCCGAAACAACTTGACATGATGCACTCTGGGAGATCCTTTATTAAAATTATGAAGAACAGAGGACCCAGTACTGAGCCTTGTGGAACTCCACTTTTGACTTCGAGTTCTGAAGAGGTCGAATTTTCAACTTTTGATAGGTGTTTTCGACTTTTCAGGTAGCTTTCAAGCAGCTCCAAAGCTCCTCGTTTCAGGCAGCTTTCAAGCAGCTCCAAAGCTTCTCCAGCTACAAATGTCAAAAGAACGTGCATTTCGTGATGCAAGGATAGTGGTAGAATCGAATATCGTTTTAATCTATCTTTATAGTCTAATCTATTGGTACCAAGGATCCACTTCAAGGCTTTTTCCTGAAGGTTTTCTATCATTCTCAATTCTGACTTATTCGGTATCCAAAGACTTGCACCGTATGAAATGATTGGGACAATCTAGCTCCGGTAAAGATTATTTTTTGCAATCGAACTTGTACCATTAGCGATGTTTCGTTTTATAGTGAAAAATAATTTGATTGCTTTCCCGCATCTTCTTTCGGCGTTTATAGTCCATGTCAAGTCGTTCGATACAATTATTCCAAGATCTTTTTCCTTTTGTGTTTGTTCAAGTGTCTTTCCATTCATTGAAATAATCCCGTTTCCGTTTAAGTTTAGGGTTTTACATTTGTTGATGTTTGATGTTTTTAAATTCTGGCTACACCATTTCCATAATCTGGTCGCTTCAATTTGTAGAGTGATCGTGTTGGTTGTGCCATTCTGCCAGATTGACACAGCGCAACCTTCCGGCGACACGAAAAAAAACGAATAAAGGCTTTAGGAACGAAAAAGTATTATGAAGGAGGGTAGGAACATTCTAGAATTTTTTTTTAAATTTCGATTGAGGAGTGGATATTTCTCAGAAATACAAAAAAGACGGCCATCTTGAAAAAAACGACGAAAAAGCAAAACCACGACAATTATTGTGGAAAACGGTCGCACAAGAGACGAAACACACAAAGCCTCTTATCGTGGCAACAACACACGATAAGACTCTTAGCAGTGAAAATTGGTGGAGGAGGAAGCTTCAGTGGGGAAGGAATATTCCACGGAACCCTCCCGTGCCACAAATTGGGAGAGATAAGAACGTTATCTCAGGAAGATTGCGGGAGCGGAGGCTTGGTCCCCCAGAGACTGTTTGATGTGAAGGGACTATATAAAACTGACTTTGTAGCTACTTGGATGTCGTAGAACTCTGAATTAACACCGGTATAATTTGATATTTTAGAATATGAGTAGCTAGAAAGAGGAAAGGGTCAATCCATCTCCAATGGATTTAATATAGAACTGTCACACAAAAACATGTTAAAATAGATTGTTCGAGACGTGTTTTTAATGGCAATCACGTAGTCTGAGGATCCGAGACTCAGCTATGTGGTAGTGTTTGCATGAAAACGAAAGCTGATCAAAAGTCATTTGACTGATGGCCTAAAAATAGTAACTTTTACTTAGCCCTAAACAGACCAGAAAATCAACTGGCAAAGTCGAGACGGTGAAAAACGAGTAGGTTTAAGGTAACTGACGCCTGCCAGTCGTTAATAGGTACTTTTTCTACGCTCCGTCGCTGTGTAGTATTTGGGCGAATGTTACAGGTAGCAAGAACTTTATAATCATCCGCGTATCCGAAACAACTTGACATGATACCTTGTGGGATATCATTTATAAAAATTATGAAGAACAGAGGACCCAGTACTGAGCCTTGTGGAACCCCACTTTTGACTTCGAGTTCTGAAGAGATCGAGTTTCCAACTTTTGCTCGGTGTTTTCGACCTTTCAGTAATGCCATTATTTTGCAATTTTTCTATTAATTTTTCATGACTGACCTTGTCGAACGCCTTTTCGAAGTCGAGGTATAGAGCAATCAGTGTTGGAGACTCGAAGTGGTCAAATATTTCACTGAGATATAAGATCATTTGAGTCATTTGGTGAATCCATGTTGTTCTTTGCAGATATTAAGTCCAATGGCTACGTAAAGTTTTTCGAAAATTAATGGTTCAAGAACTTTTGAGAGGCACGCCAAGAGCGCAATGAGACGAAAATTTGAAATTTCTTGTTTGTCTCTGTCTTCAAATATTGGTATAAGGATGTAATTTTATATGTGATTTTTTTTTTTCAGTTTGCAATGAGCTCAGCAGATCTTTTACATTCAAAAAAGAAACGAAAATATAACTCTAAAGCTTCGGAAATTGATGTCAAGAAAATGAAAACAATGGGTTCCACTGAACCGAAACTGGATGAAACTTACAAGCATATTCACGATGAAAACGTACAGTTAGAGCCGCCATATCTAACAAAAGGTGATTGTAGAATTGACGGAAAAAAGCTTCTGGATTGGATTTTGCATCCTGTTAACAATCAAAACTTTTTTCGTGAAATATTCGAGAAAAAACCTTTGCTGATTCAGCGGAAGGGAGTATCTACTACATATAGCTCGCCTTGGATATCCTCTAAAGAAATTGATTCTATTTTACGCGAGAATATTTTGATATATGGGGTCAATATTGACGTCACCAGTTTTGAAAATGGCCAACGAGAAACCCACAATCAGGAAGGTAATAATTTATGAATGTTAAATTTTGAATTTTCGGTATATGAAGTCGAAGAGATAGCTGGTTACTGTGCAAGGAGCACAGAATGTTACGACCACATTCTTAAAAAACTTTGAAAAAAAATAGTTTTTTTTTTCAAATAAGTGTTTTGTTTTGTGTGTAGTATGATAAAGAAAATATTCGAAAGCTTATAACGTTAGTGAACTAGGCATAATTTACAAGTTTTATCTTGATAAACAAATAAAATAAAAAAATTTCTTTATTTGGGTCGCATCGCAGAAAATGTAGCCTAAGCAGCCTTGAATTACCTCTGGACTGAGTTGAATTAATACTCTGATAGTGCCTGCAGCTCAAGGTTTAATTCAAGTTGCTGAAATAAAAGTCTTAGTTTTGCAGAAAAGAAAAACCACCTTGAATAATGTTCATTTTCTTTTGATTAATATTGTTGGGTTTCGGCCTATTATTTGGTTGAATTGCCGCGACCAATGTATTGAACTTGAAAGGGAAGTTTTGAGCGAAATCGAATTTGAGCAGATTTATTTGATCGAAATAGTATTATTTGGTGCATTTTCTCGGCTTAAATGCCGCTCGCTGTAATTTTTTTCTCAGTGAATTTATATTTTTATAAGTTTACTGTTGGCAATACTTCAGTTGAAAATACGCTTCCGATTAGCAAGCGTCATTAAATCAGATTCAAGACTTTTTTCCAGGCAAATACTTTGTCTAACAGTTTCTCATCTGATCAAAGCAAGAATAATTTTCTCATCTGATTTTCTCTTCTGTCATCCAGTAATTTGAGCTTGCCTCATTTTCAAACACCCGTTCTGTTTGAATTTAGTTTTTCATGTTTGTTGTAAATTTATGATTTTTGATGTAGTATAATTTCAGTTTTTGTTTGTGCTTTTGATTTACTTATTCGACTTGAAAGTTTCGACTTTTGTTATATTGACAGGATGACAAGCGACAAGCTGACCCACTGGAATTTAGTTTTTTAGATTTCCAGCAGAATACAAATTTTACGTATTGATCCAGTTTCCTCTAGTTGGATTCGTCTTATCAAAAAAGCGCCAATCATAAATTGTTGTAGAAATTTAAAGAGCTTTAAAAGCATCTATTTTTTTCTTTGAAATTCGAAATTTGAGATTTTTTCAAGAAAGTCAGTGGTTTTCATGTTAACTTGCGTTCATTACTCTTTTTCTATCTTCGATTGGCTATGTTTGTGGATATAGTTTTTTTCGTGTAATTTTTAAATTTCTCAGGGTGTATGTGCAATCCAGGAGTCCATAACATTGTTTGTCAACAAAATTGCGGCTACTTGGCTACTCTTGACTGGGAAAAGTTTTTTGGGTTTGCCATTCAAATTTTTTTTATCATAATTTATCTGAATTACACTCGGCATAACGCAATCCGCAAACACCCAAGTAAGAAATGAGTGTTTTACAAACAGATGCGGCATGCGTTGTGCTTTAAGGAATAACTTGACTGAGGTATAAAGATTTTAATCCCATAGGCCACAAAATTTGAAAACTGCAGTTGGTTTTCCAACTAGTTTTGGTGGTATAAGTGCAGCATTATTAAGACTTAATTTTGAAAAGATACGCATTCTAATGACGTCATTAAATTTTTCCATCTATTTTGCTTTTGATTGCTGATTTTTAATAACGATTTTCCCTTTTTTTGTTTGCATGATCCAACCATAAGCCATGTTGCTCAACTATTAGTTTTCTCTGATTGCTAACTCACGAATTTATTAAGGCTTTTTCATTCCATCGCTTCTGAGAAGATGTTTCCGATTTTTTTCAGATTTTTCTGGTTTTTGTGCGATATGGTATGCACCGTCATAATTTTTCAACGATGCGCACAAAACTTTCGACTTTTGTGATCGGTCAGATTTTTCGTAAGCTTCTGAAGAATTATTTCGTGCTAAGTCCGAGATGTTTACGCCGATTTTTTTTTGTAAATCTCTTGTTTCTATTTTCATCATTTATTGACTCGCAAAAAAGTTAATGTTGCATATGAAAGCATGTCATGATCTGTGTTAAAAGGTATTTTGTACAAAATAAAAGAATTTCTTTTGTTGTTTGAAACCGCAATGGTCGATATATCCGTTACACACGATTGTTTTGAAATATTAGATATAACTTACCCTCAATCTGGAGCATAGTCATAAGTTTTCAAAGACTAGAATGGTTTTAAAAGGTCTATATTGCAGTCACGAAATATAAACTTTAATTTTCGAAGGAAAAACTTTTCAGAATAAGCAGAAATTTCACCAAATACTACTTTATAAAGTATGCGAAGAGCCTTTTTCTTGAGCAGCTCGAAACCATTTTTTCTTTTTATCGATGATTTAATTCTAACCCGTAGTCATTCGGGGGAAAAAACTATCTGTCAGCACTCTTAAGATCTAGTAGTTTTTGTTCCAATAGGTTGTCAACAATTTTTTGTTTGTTTTTAAAAAAATTTGTTTTGCAGTTGTTATAATATTTTGTAGATGCTGTAGCCTCAGCTGTGTAGTCAAAGATCTGGAGTTAAAAATTTTTGGCTTAACGAGCTTCTACCGAAATTAGTCGGCTTTGTTGCGGCTTTTTCATTTTTTTTGTTTAATTTAACGAGACTGTTTGTCTCTCTGTGTTTTTCCCTACAAATGTACTTCATTTTGAGACTAACGTCGTCGAATTTTGGCAGCTCTAGTTTTTATTCGATGTTTTTTCAGACCATTTATATGTGTCAGTGGATTTAGTCTTGTTTTCTAGAGGCCATTTTTAAAGCTTGCCAATTTCTAGCTTGCAGTGCGAACGTCGAGATGTATCGTAAGTGGCGCGGAGCTCCGGTTCGCCTCTGTGGATTTTGTCATTTTCGTCTAGCCGGTGTCCGGCGACTATAAAATTGAATTGCAAACTCTTGGAGAATCAAAGAAAATGTGTTTGTTTAGGCCGTGCATATGCAGGAGCGATCTGGGATTTCTATCAGACAGGTTGTTCTATCAGACTTTTGAACCCACAGACGTTTTCACACGATGTCTACGAGAAGTTATCTTTTCTCCAGGGTTGGCATAATTAGTTAGCAGCAAAAATAGGTATTCAAAGCAATATTTTTGTATTTATCTCGACAACCTTTCGATTTAGGTGTTTTTCCATAATTGAATCTTAATCTTCAAGTATTGAATTAGAAATTAAAAAGAAGTTGTTTAAATATTGCTATTTAAATTCTACAACGAAAAGTGCTAAATTTTTATCAAAAAATGAATTTTCCCGAACGTATTTTTTGAGTTTATGCTCAATAGGAAGATGCGGTCGGAACATGCAGTGCAGTTAAACTTTGATATTCGTCTGCAACCTAACTTAATTCGACCAACCCTGCTCTTTTGCAAGAGTATGTGGGCAACTTCTGCGGTGCTAATGTGTACCTGACCCCACCGGGGACCCAAGGCTTCGCTCCTCACTGGGACGACATCGAGGCATTTGTGATTCAACTGGAAGGGTGTAAAAGATGGAGAGTGTATGAACCCACCACTTTGCTGCCTGATTATTCGAGCCATAATTTAAAGTTGGTATATTGTTATTTCCACTACCGCATGTTATACCTAAGAATTTTTCAAAGGCTTTTCAATTTGAATTGTTTTGTATCTTCTAGATCATAGTCGAGTATATAGTGTTTGATCATTTCGGTGATTGGTTTAAGTTGAGTCGAAATCAAAGAAACTATCAAAATTTGTTGACGACGTTCTTCGTTCAGGTCATATCGTTTCTTATTTCATCTGATATATGATTTTGGAGATCATAAAAGTATTCGACATATAGGAAATTAAAGTTATTTTCAAGGAAAACGCCCAAAGCTTCTTGGCTGAGCTATGAATGGTTTTAAAAAATGTAAGACAACTATTATTTCAATTTTAGGAGCGAAAGTCTTCCGGATCCCATCATTGACTGTCATCTGAAAGCGGGCGATTTGCTCTACTTTCCCAGGGGTTATATTCACCAGGGAAACGCCCTTGAAGACCAGCATTCTCTACATATAACAGTTTCTATGTTCCAACAACACTCATATTCTCATCTTATGGCCAAAATCATGCCTAATTTATTGAACAACTTCCAATCGAAAAGTCTGACTCTCCGAGAATCTTTGCCGTGTAATTATTTGGACGCTTTCGGAAGCAGTAATCGGTCAATTTGTACTGTTTGATTCAGCTTTCCAGTCATGAATTGGAAAAGTCAAGCATCAATTAGCTTTTGTTCTTTTTTTTGCGATTTCAACTATGCGAAGAAGTGCTCGTAGGATATGTTTTCAAGGCGTAAGGGTCCAATGGTAGAAACTTTTAAACAAATCAAAATACCGAGACATTGTAGCTCAATTATATTTTCACATTTTCTCTTCGTGTTGGAATACCAAGTCTTGGGAATTCTCAAGATTTTGGTAATACATTTTTTGATACCATTAGAGCAAGCTTTTTTGGACCAGTGTATAATAATGCTCAAATTTCAAATGCATTTTTTAATCAAACTTTTGAACAATTTGTTCATCTGGACATTTAGCGACGAATGAACCTAACTTACGAATAACTTCGTTTATTAAATTATGCATGAGGTTTTTGGGTGACTCTAGTAGTACAAATTGCGACAGTATGCAAACTAACTCAGAAAGCAATAGCGACACTGCTCAGACAAGAAGCGAAGTGATCAAAAGAGTGCAGAATATGCTGGGAGAGATGATCAATTGTGTTCCTGACATTGTGGACGAATCGGTGGATCAGTTTGCATTGAAGTAAGTCAGATGTACAACGTTCATTTTTTTCTCGACTGAAAATTTGAAACACCTTGTATCAGAAACCTTAATTTAAGATGAGTAATTTCAAGAGAGCATTTCTATAATAATAATATAATAAATTGTTTGCAAATTAGATTCCATTCATTGTAAAAGTTACTACATTTACTACCAAACGAAATCTCATTGCGAGAACGCCGTGGAACTATGCAGCCCGTTTTCAGGCGCCTCTGATCCTGCTTATGACTTCTGTTATTTTTTTATATCGATAGTTAATCAAGAAAAAAAAAGATTTAATGATTTAAAGAGGAAAAAAAAGCTTTGAAGCGAAAAAGAGGAAAATTTCAGCAGTATACCTTTGACTGCAAATCTTTTTTTAAAATACTATTTTATTTCTTCTCAAAAATGAGTTTAAACAGTTGATAATTTCCTAGAATAAAGTTGTCCAAAAACTCATGGTTGAAGATTTGTGATTAATATTGTGTGCAGCTCTGATTCTTAGTTACAAAATCTGGGTAGTATTTTAAAACAAAGTTGAAAAGTTTTCTAATTCTAACTTTAACTGAAGTTTTTTGATTACCCTTTGATTGCACAGGTATCTGCCTAGCTAAAACTCTCTTATTCAAAATTGTATTCAAATTTTTCTCAGTTACAGCTTCCTGGACAATGGCCGATATGCACTCTTTTCTCAAAACCTTAATAGTTCATAGATATGTAATTCCTTTACGAAGTATATTTTGCGTTTTTGTCTCAGTTCTTCGATGCTTTCATTTTTTCATTTCTTCTCTTAAAACAAATAATTTTTATAAGCCGTTTAATTTTAAGTTCAATTGTTTCGAATTTCGTTTTGTCTGTTGACGCATAAGCCAAAACCCCGTACTGTAGAATGGGTTTCACATAAGCGTTATATGCTTTCAGTAGTTGATCTTTTCCTTAAATTTTCCTCAACCTGTAATACATCCCACAAAACCTCGACAATTTATTTTCAATTTTTGTAATATGTTCAGTGAAGGAAAGTTTAGAGTCAATTTGAACACCTAAGGATCGGAACGATTGTTTTTCTTCAATAATTATTCCATTCATTTTGACATATGATTTTCCACTGCTCTTCTTAGATAGTATCATTGTTTTTGTTCTATCTTCATTCAAGATCAGCTTGTTTTTTTTGTAGCCAACTTGCTGTTTTGTCCAACGCTTCTAGGTTTTTACCGGTTAAGTCACTGTTTCTAGCTGTTGTTTTTATGAAAGTGTCGTCTGCATATAAAATCAGATTACTTTCACTATTTTCATTTAGCTCAATATTATTTATATAAATGATGAAAAGAAGCGGCCCTGTGGTACTCCATAATTCACGTTTATATTTTGAGAGCGTTTGGTTTTAGTGGCAACGTATTGTTGTCGGTTTTTTAAATAAGATTTTAGAAGATCAAAAACAGATCCCCGAAAACCATATGCGTCACATTTCTCAAGTAAAAGAATGTGGTCAACTGTATCAAAGGCTTTCTTAAGGTCAATGAATCGCACTTCTTCTATTACGGTTATCAAAGCATCAATTGTACTCCTTTTTGATCTGAACCCAAACTGGCAATTTCGTAGTAACTGATACTTAGTGAGATATTGATTCATTCTGTTATAAATGACCCGCTCAAAAATTTTACCTACAACTGGTAAAAGAGAAATTGGCCTGTTGTTTGATGGGTCTAGATCGTTACTTTCTTTGAAGAGAGGTTTAACTTTGGCAATTATGAAACTGTCTGGAAAAACTTGTCTATCCAAACATTTTTGTAAAAGTTTTGTCAAAACTGGACAATTTTTTTCAAGTAATAGTGATTAAGTCCATATTTCTTTATTTTCGAACTTTCTAATCTCTGAAACGAGAGAGCTTTTCGAACTTTCGAATCGTTTCAGGGTTTTTATTACACTTGTATTTGGCCGGCGAGGCAAGGATGAAATAGCTTAATTTTTAGCAGAGAGCGAAATTACGTCATGCTAGGAAAAACCACTTAAAAGTTTTAGCCAATACAAGCGGTTTCCATCCAAGAAGTAATTGCAGCTATATGGTTAAACGAAAAATTTAGCGTTAATTGAACAACGTATCAAGTAGCTTCTGAAAAGTGAGGAGGGTTTCTTGTTCAGATCTGCGGAAGTTTATTTGAACATAGTTACTTAAAGTTATACAATTTGAATTGGTTGAAATTTTAAAAAGTATTTTTTTTTGTTTCGCCCCAGCAGAACCTCTACCTGTTCATTCATTAACTAGAAGAAAATCTCAAGTTATGAGATTTTTCTTGAGTGTTTTTAAACAAGATTTGACTAATAGAGTTTTTCTGTTTAGATTTATGAGAGAAAGTTTGCCGCCTTGTCTTTCCACAGAAGAATCCTCGAGGACAATTGCAACGAGCGGAGCATTCTGGGAGAGCAACTCAAAATCAGTTCAAGGAACGGAAAATGTCGTCGACTTGGACACTAAATTGAAGCTTGTGAGGAAGCGCTGCATACGCCTAATTTACGAGAGAAAGACGAAAACAAACCGGCTGTATTTCAATGTAGAAAATACACGAATTTATCATGAAGTTGATTTGAAGTCAATCGAACTTGATTCAGTTGATGCCAAAAATATCAAATTTTTAATTAGAAAATATCCCAAGTTTTGCACGGCCAATGATTTGAAGTTTGGAGATGAACAATCTAAACTAGAACTTGTTATGGGGCTATATGAAAAAGGTATCTTGATATCTGAGAAAAAAATTGAAACTATTTGATTTCTGGTTTTTCAAAGCTAAGTAGGATTTAGGTCAGTCGGTGCAGGAAGACGAAGGAAATAAAATAAATTTAGGCGGGCGCCGCAATATTGTTTTGACTACCGAAGGAAGTTTGCATGCTGATGTTTTCTTGCCACGGAAAATGAAGTATCACAAACTATCTTCAGATGGGTTCGAGTAATATGTCAAATTGAAGATTTTTCAGTGGTCATTTTGCTTGGCGCAGGAAAAACAGGTTTAAAATTTTCGCTTTTTTGGAAGCATTTAAAGCGCAGATTGAAAATGAGTTGCCGTCAATTTTGAGCAGCGCTTCCTTTTTTACACATGTGAGATAACAGGCGTAGTGTCGCATAACGACTTCTACTTTTTTCCAAACCAAATCACCAGGTAAAAAGCTCTTTTGGTGGCAAATTTGCTTCAATGCATAGCAACAGGAATTTAATAGCATATGTAGCTTCTTTTTGCTGGCTAGTCTTTATATATATATAGCCTTATGTGCAGTCGTGACTCTGTTAAAGTTTGCCAGAGTCAAGAAGTTATTTTCTTTTTTTTTGCTATTTGTATTCTAGACCAGCTGATGTCAAACTTTTTCTCAAGGCGATCAATTGGATTTCAAAGAAAATGTGGCGCGATGGAGATTCGAACCCCCAACTACCTGGTTTATACCAAATGCGCCCGAGTGCCTTTTCTAACTGATGATATTTTGGAGGACCACCTTAGTCATATCAGCCCGACTAGGATGTTGTGTTTGCCAAGTGTCTATAATCTCGCCGAGCGAATTTGGTACTTGTTTTTATTACTTACATGAAGTTCAGACTATTCACTTAAGAGTGATTTAGGAAGTGAAGTTGGAGATTTTTGAGATCAAGGAGAATTTTTCTCTAGATTCGATCGACTCGTCCCATTTGACCTTTATAAGGACATTCGTTGTTGAGGAGCCAACCCTGGTATTTATTGGGGCAACTATGGTAATTTTGCAAAGAGCGCTTTCCGAAAAGTCGGTTTATAGTGAAAACGGTCCAAAAAGTGCCATATATTTTCTGCAACAAGTTTGTGTGGCATAAGATGAGTTGGCAGAATTCTGATCAGGGGGAGTTGCTAAAATTGCAAGCGTAAAAAATTGAACTGATTTTCACTCTTACATTTTCGCATTTTGACTTTTAATTTTTTTCTAAGTTCATTAGTTCCTTTGTAAAAAAAGCAAACTTCGCAACCGAACAGCAAATGTGTAAAGGTCACGAAAAACGTGAATGATTTCTAATTTTAAAAATGGACTGGAGTTTAATTCGCAGCGGATTAAAAAATTACTTATTGATCCAGTTTTCTCTGCAAATGATAATTACACAAGCAAAGCTTGTGTTATAGTATGAACTCTCTTTTTTAACAACCTAAGTCGCAAATATTGTTGCGACAAATTGTGTTCAATTTGATCAATAACCAGCTATAAAGTACAGCCAATGCTAAGGATATTAACACAGACTATTATATTACAAATAGCACTTTAGCTTTAAAGTATCATGGATCTGTAGCATAGTGGTAGGGAAGCCGACCAGCAACAAAATAAGAGGGTTCGAACATTGGCAGGGTCGGATGGTTATAAGGATTTTTTTTTTCGGATACTAGTTAAAATGCGTCCGCTCTATAAATTGTGGCATGTTACTTGGTAAATTTCTTTGTTTTTTCATATTTTTGCTTGTGTATGCGAAGTGCAACTTCGCCTCTGTGTCAATTCTTGGAGTTCAAAGTTTTTAATCAAATTTTTTTTGGCTTCCTGATTATGTTACTTTTTTCAACTGTCTGTTTGGTATGTTGTTTGTTGCCAAACGTTAACCGTCCCCTACTAGTTTTTTTTAGTAAAATTAACGTTTCCTCACTTGACACAAATGTTTGGAAAATTGGCAGCTTGACTAATAACCCTAGATGGTCTTGCCAAGCAAAATTTTCCAGCTAAAATTTTGAATATGAAAAAATTATTGGCAGGGAAAAGAAAAAAGAATGACTTTCTGTTTGGTAAGAACAGGTATTGTGAAAATGTAAAGGGTATGGCTTATAACTTATTTTTTTTGAGACGAATTGGAAAATTTTGACTTCTCTCAATCTTTTTCTCAATATACTGCACCGGTTTTTAAAAAAAGTGATACCAGTGGGAAAACAGACGTTTTTCTGTAAGTCTGAATATTTATCTAGTCTAGTCTCTTTATATCTAACGCCATTTTTTACAGCCTCGGAAATTTTCTGTGAGGGTAGTGTTTAACCCATATTTTTGTAGTTTTCTATTTTCTCAAAAACAATTTCGCCGGGGGTTGTGGAAAGGTCTCATGTTTAAGTGTATATGCGCATTTCTTAACACAAAAGTTATGGGCCCTGAATAAGTCAAAATTTTAATTTATTGACCATTTTTGGAAACTTTGGATTTTTCTCGGATACTAATTTCTCAAATGTAAGATTTTGCGTTCAATCAATTAAAAGGATTGTGGGAGGTCTTCCGACTTAGTGGTTCTGTCCAATGTTGCTTAAACAAAAAGTTATGATCCTCGGAAAGTCAAACTTTTGATTTTTCAATCGTTTTTTGAAACTTAATGACTTCTCTCAAAAGCTCACCTTCAAATCTGGAATTAAAGGTTCGATTGAGAGGACAGATTCTTTTAATTTTTCCGTTGTAATTAAATACGCCCTTATATTTGTAGAAAAAGATTTTTGTGTTTCGAAAAAGTCAAAAGTTTTCTAAAAGAGCAGAACCCGTTATTTCGATTGAACCATTAATCTGAGAAAGGGCAGAGTAGTTTTCGAGAAAACTACTCTGCCCATTCTCAGATTAATGGTTCAATCGAAATAAAGGGTTCTGCTCTTTGCTGTACGCCCTGTTTTTGTGTAAGCCAGTACGCCCTGTTTTTGTACCAAAATGTTGGTCTTGGAAAAAGTCTATTTTGTTTCTTTTTGTCGCCGTTTTTGGAAACTTCTGGCTGGAACTACCCTACTAAATATGAGATCAAGGGCTCAATCGACTAAACCGGTTCCGAGAATTTTCAGTGTAGATGCGGCCACTTCTTAATTTTTTTATACATTGGGAAAAAAACCAAATCTGAAATTTAAAGCGTTTTGCAATTTTGCCAAACTATCTTGCCAAATCTGAAATTAAGATTTCAATACAAAAACTGGTTATGGGATTTTACCTGCATAAGTGGCTCCGCAGTTATGATTTCAATTGAAATAAATTGTTGTGAGAATCTTCCTTGCAGAAGCTGTTAATTATTAATATTTGTCGAAAAACTGTTTTGAACTAAAGAAAAATCAAAGTTTTGAGATTTTGATCATTTTTGGATTTTTTTGAAAACTGCCCGCCAGCTCTGAGATTAATGGTTGCCTTGAAAAATAGGAATAAACAGTTTTAAACTATTTTTTGTCGAAAAGCAGGAATGGATGAAAGAAAAATCCATTTTTCGAATCTTCGAAAGTCTTTTGGAAAATGTTTTTTTTTTCTCGAAAAATACACATATGATATTAAGTTTATCAAAAGAACAGGTAGTATGAACGTCCCCTACGTAAGCGGCTACTTCCCTCATTCTGACAGAAAAACAACTAAGGTTCTGGGTAAGGTCAAATTTTTGAAATTTTGAAAATATGCGTATGCGTTTAATCCCCCAGTAGTACAAATATTCTAAAAAAAATCAAACAGGTAACCTCCTGCTTTAGCGGGGTCGCTATTTTAACAATCCCGTTATAGTACAGCAAATTTATTAGCCAACGCGCACAAGGAGTATTTCAAGAGTTGAGCGTATACGAAAAAGATAGCCAGAAGTGTTTTTTTTTTTCAGTAAATTTCCGGGAACTGCTCGGAAGTATCTCAACTTATCAGAAGATATATTTGTGGCTCTTTGTCAAATTGACCCGGTTGATGAACGTCTATACGGCACAGACACTCAGTCATCAGCATGTATTAACATCAGGAGAGGGCGGATGTTGCTGAGTGCCGATCAGTATATGAGTACTATTGACATTTTCGACCCAGATATCTCTCACTACATGTTTTCAACACCGGTAAGTTTCCGAAATCAGTCTTCGGTGCGGGTGTTTATTGGAAAATGCTAGCTGCGCTATTTGAACATTTTGCGGAATTTTCTTGCTTCTTGTGATGATGTTTGGTATGTTCTCTCGAAATTGAAAATGGCACGACTGACTATGTGTAGTAAGAAGTTTAGTTTGTGCTCTTTTTCTAAAGGTATAAACGTATAATTTTTATCTTGTTTTTGGTGTGCTGCTTGATAAAGGCGAACCATTGGCTTTTTCTGGTGTTTTTATAAATTGTTCAAGCTCGAATATAATTGTTAGTGGTTTGTCTTTTGACTTTTTTTAAAGCTCAGTTCATTTCCTTAAGGAAGGCAAACTTCACTATCGAACAGCAAAAGTGAAAAGATCACGAAAAACGTGATTGACTTCTGGTTTCGAAACTGGAATTTAATTTTCGAATTTCCCAGCGAAAGAAAAGAATAAATTTGAAAAAGTATCAGGTATCCAAAGTTGTATAGATCAGTAACCCAGCGAAATCAAAATATTATCTATTGATCCAGTTTTCTCAAGTTCGATTAATATTATCAAAAAAGTTTCAAGGATGAATTGTTCGAGAAATTCCATGAGCTTGAAGGCCATATTTACAATTCGAAAATTGAAGTTTTTTTTAAAGTTTTTTCTGTTTCAGTGACTCTTTTCCATTTTGGTGTTGGCTGTTTTGGATCCCTTGTTCTTTTTATCTTTTCCAACAATCTGTTAGCTAGGTTTGTAAACTCTTAGAAACGTTCGGTGATAAAATGCCAAAATTTTTCTTCGAAAGTTTTTTTTATTAAACTATGCATACGTTTTTTCGCCCCCCCCCCCGCCCGACCTGCAAACTTTCGTCCTAGTTTAATCTAAATAACACTATAGAAACTTCTACCTGCTCGTTTGCCTCTTATTGATGACCAGACACAGTTGAACGTGAGCTTAGGCATAAAAAATGAAAATTTTAACAAAAAAAGTTTAACGAATTGATTTTGCTTCAATTTCAATCCCACAATTTTTTTTTGACTTTTTCGGCACGTAATTAAGCTGAAACTGTGAATTTGTTTACTTGTCTTTGCACACGTTTGCGAAGAGTTCCCCCGGTTTCTGTCAAAAACATTCTGACAGTTTTTTTTTCTTTGTTTTCTACGCAAAATCAGGTACCTTAAATACTCATCGGACTGGGTTGAGTGATATATCATATCAAAGCCCTTTCAGTCGTGATTCGAACCACATTTGAAAAAACACAAAAATTTTTGTCAGTGTCGAGAAAAACTGGTTTGATTTTTCGTCGCAATTCGCGCGAATAAAGCAAGGGAGCACGCTTACAAGAGCAGGCTTAAATTATGCCTAACTTAAGACCTTAAAACTTAATTTTAAGCAAGTAAAACTAGTTTTTGGAGATTTTTTTTGCTTCATTTTGGGAACCAAAAACTTAAAAAATTTTCTAACTAAAATTTTGAATGTTTTTTTTTCACATTTTTAGTTCTTCTTGTCAATTTTCTACACAAATTTTTGTTCAATTTGCCTATAATACTATGACTGTCTAATATACCTAAATAATATTTTTACGTCTAATTTGGAAACAACTAGTTTGGAAAAAAAACTTTCTAAACCGTAGTTTTCTAGAGACTATCTATTGTCGGAAAATTCTGTGCTACTTGCACAGTAACCGGCTATCCTTGTTTTCTATGTTCAATTGTCTTTAACTTGGGTATCGGAAGTGGTGCGAAGCAAACGAAGCAATGCAGACAAATGTTAGCATGAAGATTGCTGCAGAGTACTAATAGTTAATGTGCTGGATTTCAATTTTGTAGATCGAGGGATTGATTGCTGATAGTGCCAATTGTTTTTGTCGGATAAGTTAAGAAGCATCTTCAAATCAGCAATTGAAACTTGTTTTGGCGATTTGTAGTTTTTTCGCTAGTGTAGGCGTAGTCCAATTTAGTTTTCATATTAAGTTGTAAACTTCTCGCTCTACAAAGCCATAATATCTCGCTCTAACGCTTGAAGAAAAAATTTTTAAAAAATGTATTGTTTCGCTTTTTTGAATTTTTTTTTTCAATATCTGTTGTAGGATTATTCTGTGATAATTGCACAGCAATCATCTGTTCTTCTTAGAACTCTGCCGCGAGTCAGTCGGCGCTGAAAAAGGCGGCAACGAGAACGGCTACACACCATTTTCAATGTCACGAAATCTATTCTACGAGATTGGGATCCAGTTCAAAACCGGATAGCGAATTAATAATTGTGCCGGATAAAAATGACGAAAAACTGGACTCAAATGTGTTGCAAATGGGGGCACAAATGGCGGATCAAGCTGAGACGTGTTCTGAGTTGGATAATGAGGACAATTGTATAATGGGCAGAAAAGGAAGTGTGGCCACACCGCCACCTGATGAGGTCCATAAAATGGCCATAAAACAGGGACCACCTTCTTGTTCTTTCTCAGCGGGGGATGCAATAGAAACACAAGATAACAATGCTAACAGGGAAAAACTAACTTCATCTGGAAATGAAAATGACGCAGACTGTAACTACAAATCTAAAAGTAATATAGCCGAAATGGCCATTCATATTGACTGTACAATTTCTATACAGTTTGCTCTCAATCAGATATTAGAATTAGACTCTTATTTGATACAGTCGGCCAAAACTCTTTTCATATTTTACAACCCCAAATCGCTGCTATTTCCACTTGCGGACTTAAAAATTGTTCTGGATAAATTTTCGCCCGCTGTTGCTAAAATTCTAATCGGTGCTAAAAGTCTGGATTGTATTGTAGGTGGAATAGAGCTAGGCTTTGATTTGTTTGACGGGTCCTACGCTTACCTTTTGACAACAAAAAATCTGGCCCTAAATTTTGATTTTAAAAATTTTGAGTGCTGTGATGTTAAAAAAGAAGCTATTTTATTAGACGCGGAAAAATTGGCTTACAAAAACAATTTTGAGCCTCTGTCAAAATACTGTGATTGTTATGTTTGTAAAAATTATACAAAAGCCTACTTGAATCATTTAACTGTTACAAAAGAATTGCTCGGTCCAATTTTGTTAATGATTCATAACTTACACAGTTTTGATGCATTTTTCATGACTATACGAAAATTGCTGTCGTTCCAACACCAAAGTTCTGAGCAGAAAGAAAAATTTGAATGTTTTGCTTCCAAAATTAAGGAGCTCAAATTTTCAGTTTGAAGTATCTGTCTTTCATCTTGTTTTTTGAATAAATAATTGAATAAGTACATTTCTTTTTTGTTCTTTTTCTGTAGTTAAGAGAGCGTGGAAATTCTTACTTGAAAATTCTGCCCTTGTTTTCAGGAAAGAACTTTTCTAAAATACAAAAGAAATTTTCTTGTAGTTTTAATGAGTGACGTAGCGGAATGCTCTTGGTTGCATAAATAAACACAGCGAAGTTGAATCAGATTGTCTGAAATGCACCCACGGAGTACAGAGATTTCTCAAGTTTGAGAAACTTGTTCTTCTGGCGGGAAGAACTTTTGTTTAATGAATTTAATGATTTTGTTTAATAAAACCGGTTTGGTTTTAACCAGTGCGTCAATATTCTTGCTCTGAAAACGATTTAATTTCTCCAATGGTTCATTACACAGTTTTGGGATTAAATTAGTTTACAGAGAGATTTAACGTGTAGATATTGTCGAAGTAAAAAGCAGACCTCCCTCTCGTCGACACACAAGTAGCGTGGGAAATGTTATAAATTGGTTATAACTTGGTTATTTTATCTCTACAAAGTTATTCTTACCTTTCGGCCGACTTAACATGTCCTGATTTCAGCTAATGTAATTCTCAAATTAATATTTTGTCTATCTTTTTTATTGGATTAAAAAGCTCAAAACAGATGAATTCGACGTGTGCTGTTTTGTATGTTGTGGTTATTTTTATCTCCTTTGCGGGAAGGTCGATTGAAGATGCAAGTTGTTGCACATGTACTTCGCCGTCGTTGCCTCAGCTGTTGAATAAACCCTCTGAGCAGATGCAACAGCTGCTCCAGTTTTCACTCTCTAGGTCGAGAGGAGTCGCAGGTAAGATTGGGGGATATTTTTTCTACTATTTCCCTCCTACTGAACCAAAAAGAGCCCCTATTCATCGGCTCATGTTGAAACTATTCAGTGCCAATGAACGAAATGAAGACACTGATTTAGGTTGTGTGGTTTTTCCGTCCTTCAGGAAGTCTTAGAAGTTATTCACGCTCAAATCTCTTTTTAGATCGAGTTTGATTGTTTTTTAAGATCATTTCAAATTGAAATGGAAGAAAAAATTAAGCTCCCTAAAACCAAATTTCCTATTGGAACGATAAAATTTTGACTGTATTTAAAAATAGATATAACAATATAAAAACGGTATGTAATCATCTTTGAAAGTCAAAAGTGGTAGCATTTTTTAAAATGTCCATTTTTCCGGTGTATTCGAGCTTACTAAAACTTTCTTGATAGTCTATGGATTATGATTTAAGTGTAAATTATGCATTAAAAAATTTCTGCATAAACAATTCCGATAAAAACTTGATTAGTGGTAAGTTGGTGGCTCATTACGATAAATCTAATCTATTATATATTTAAATGAGGGCTCCACTATCTCGCAACGTTTAAGCTTTTTCAACGTATTATTTTTGCATGTTAAACGAAAAAAATTTTTTCACATTTAAGCTACATCGTATATAGCAATGGTTAAGAACTTCTTTTTCGATTTTCCAGAATGATTTCGATGGTGTTTTCACCAAGTTTAAAATAAGCAGCCCATTAATTGGATGCTGTTCGGATTCTCCACGAGCTTGCAAGTTTGGACTCCAATTTTGAATGCCCAAATCTTCGTAGTTTACGAGATACGACGATTTTGGTGATTTTTTTTTCAAAAATTTTCAGGAAACTCAAATTGCAAAACAGTTTACAAAAACTGAAGTTTTGTAAACCCAGTTTAGTTTTGTAGAGGGAAGCTTTCAGAGTGCTCTCAAGGATTGCGAATCTTGCCTCCAAAAATGACGGCTCAAATCCTTGTAGTTTTTGAGATATGACGTGTTTTATGATTTTTTTCAGCAATTTTCAAAAAACTTAGATGTTAAACATTTCTTAATTTTGAAGATCTTAATCCTGTTGTTGGAAACTGTCTGTCAGGCTGCTCTCAGGGGTTGCGAATCTTGCCTTCAAATATGACTGTTCAAATCCTTGCAGTTTTGAGACATGGCGTATTTATGATTTTTTCAAAAATTGTCAGAAAACAAATATTTTTTTTCTTTCAAAATTTGATAACCCCAACCCTGTAGTTGAGTGCTGTCAGGGTACTCTCAGGGTTTACAAATCTTGCAAAATGCGACTGCTCAATTGTGTGACATATTTTTGATTTTTTCAAAATTTCTCAAAGAACTTCCCTACAAAAAACTTCACAAAATTTGAAACTACTAATTTGATGAAGGGATAAACTCATTATCAGTGTACACCCAGGCGTCGCAAATCTTGCCTCTAATTTTGAATGCTCAAATCCTTTTAGTTTCCTAGATGTGACTTTTATTATGATTTTTTCAATTTTTTCGGGAAACTTGAGTTTCAAAAATCTCACGAAATTTTAAATCCCAACTCTATAGTAGGGTGCTCTCAGGGACTCTCAGTGGTTGCAAATCTGACCTCCAATTTTTTCCAGAGGTCCATTAAGTTTTCGAGATGACGCTTTTGTGGTTTTTCGAAATTGGAATTAAAGTTTTTTTTTAATAAATTTGGAAATCGCCAACCCTGTAATTGAGTGCAGTCAGAATACACGAAAAGTTTGCAGATCTTGGTTCCAATATATGCGGTTTTTCGTGAGTTGTCAAAAAACTTCGAAGCACCGGAGGTGCGTTACATGCTAGCTGAATTTAAGCTCAATTATATTTTTATTCCGACCATTGAAAATGGGAAGGCACTTAGTTTTCGGATGTATTCTGTTGTTTTTTGTTTAACACGCAAAATCAGGTACCACAAATAATCATCGGGATAGGACGAGTGATGTATCATGTTAAAGTCTTTCAAGTCGTGATTTGGACAACTTTAAAAAAACTCAAAAATTTGTTCAAGTGTCGAGAAAACTTGTTTTAAATTTTTTGAAATTTAGTCTAATTTTGAGAGTAACGTTTTTTTTTACAAAGAGATTGATGAAAACTGTTGTCAACTTTGAGTAGTTTGCTTAACTTAAACGCGTTTTTAAAGTTTTCTCCTTACATCACCCACAAAAAAAAACGATACTAAATTGAAGAAAAACGTTTTGTTTTTAAATGAATGTCGTCGGAACATTATGTGCTACATGCACAGCAACCGGATACCCTTGTTCTGATCAATGTTTGCTTTTTCAGGGTCGTTCAAAAGTGCCGAAGTACAAGAATAACGAAAACAAAAAAGTATTTCGAATTGCAGAAAATGCACCGCTTCTATAATTGGTTGGCCTTTTTCAACTTCTTGATGGGTTAAATATCGGGTTTTTTTTAGATTTAGAACCAAAATTTTATTTAAAATTTTGCTTATTGCTGTAGTAATTGTTCACTTGCTTATACTAGCGTGAAGTGATTGGTTTCAAACAACATAACAATCATGAAAACTCGATATATCTCGCAATTTTATGAAATCCATAATTATACATAATGTGGCTTTATGCTTTCCAATTTGTTACATGCAAAGTTAGTGTGGATGCTTTCAGCTTGCTATGTTCCAAATTCTTACTTGCAAAATTGAGTCTATTTGTATTTGCTGCTACTTTTGCTGAATCGCATTGGCAATATATTTGCATATGTAGCTGCTTTATTCGTGACCAGTGTTTGTTGGTTGTAAGCTTGCGTGGCTGAGTGGATAATGCGTGAGACTCGAAATCTCTTGATTGCAGTAGCTCGCAGATCGAATTCTAGACAAGCCGATTTTTTGGTTAATTGGAGGCTTCTTTCTATTTTTCTTATTCAACTTTCTAGAGCTGCTTTTTGTCGTGTTCTTGCTAGTGCTTGCGAAGCGAAGCATCGCTTCTGTGTAAAATTTAGAATGCCAATTTAGAGGAGTTTTTGTTTGTTTCACTTAATGCGAGAAGAAAGTACAGAAGCTATGTCGCGTTCGCTTGCTAGTGCCTCAATTTTTACAACTTTATCTTCACAAAATCTTGATTAAGAAATAACTTTCGGCACTGCTGTACACTTTTGTTTTTGGTACTCTTGTGCTACCGGGCTTGTACTGAACAGGCTTCACAGAATACCTAAATTCTAACGTTATTTACGAATTTATTTTCGTTGAGGTTTCAAAAATACTAGTTTTTAAATATTTGAGTTTTTTGTGATGTTTTGCAAAATTATTTTTCTCTGTAGCTCGAGCAGCTGTTGACTTTAATTCTTATTTGATTCACTGGTGGGCCAAGCTTTTAATAAAAATTTATTTGTTTTCTACAACATATCGTAGATATCAGAAAGAACTATATATTTTTTCTAAGTGTCTTGCCACCACCTCAAAACAACAAAACACTTGAAAGTTTGAAAAAACATATATTTAAAAAAACGTTCAGTTCCTTTTTCTGCAAGCATTTTGCGATTTGAACCTTATTTGCACAGGTACTATATATACTTGCACAGAAACTGGCTCCGTGTTGTCCAGAGAAAATTATATGTTTCAGCAATCCTTCACTTTGATCTCAACATCCCATCTATCTGGTGAAAGTTTACACCGAATTGCAATATTTTTTGTTTTTATAGGCTTTTTGCAAGGGATCATTTGGCATTTTTTTCTGATCACTGAAAATGAGAAGAAGTTTTGCTTCCACATATTGTTCAACGAAAAATTAGGCGCCACAAAGAAGCGTCAAATGAAAGTGATTAGTTGAACAATGTAACATACATAAGTCGAGAGGCAATGAATTTTTTTGTGAAAAGTTCTTGAAATTCGGCGAAAATTTGGTTGGAGTATTCAAGAGTGAAGCGTAGATGGAAAAAAGAGCGCTTTCACCAGTTTTCATAGTTATTCGATAAAAATAGTTCTTACAATATTTATTCTAATAAGTAGGAAAATTTACTTTCAAATCATTACGACGAACAAACTCCCTCTGCTCGATCAACACAACCACAAAAACGAGAAAAATTGCAGAAGCGCAGCAATAGGGTTTTTGTTTAAATTTACCCATCCTCATTACATCGATCAAATGTGTTTTAGATTCCTAAGCTTTAGAAGTAACCATTCAATGTAAATGTTAAGGTTTTGACTATTGAGCTTTCGTTTATTACCGTGCGATAAGCAAGGTTGTTGCAACCGTGGTACTAAATTTTTTCTCGTAAACAACTTTGTTCAAAAGATTTCGCAGATTTCTCATCATCTTGCTTCGTATTTAAATCGAAATCAATCAAACACCCAGCGCATCTAACGTAGAGATAACACGCCTGATTGAGACGACAAAAGCTTGTGGTTCGAATCTTGTCGGTACCTGTTTTTTTTTAAAGTTACGACCGTAGTAAATGATCTTAATTAGATCTTTGTGATTTTTTTTCGCGGTTTGAGTTTCGATTTCTTTTCAGGTTCAAATCATTTCGTTTGTTAAAAGGAAGGTAAACTCCACTATCGAACAGCAAAGGTGTAACTGCGGCCTAAAACGTGATCGAAGTCTAGTTACGAAAGTGGATTTTAGCTTTCAGATTTCCCAGCGCAATGAAAAATTTATTTTTGTTCCAGTGTTCTCAAACAGAGTTGATTTTATCAAAAAAGTGTCAATCATAAATTTGCTTCGAATTTCAAAGAGTTTCTTGACCGAATACTTTTACTTCGAAATTAGAAGGTTTTTTTGTTTGCTTGCGTTCATTGTCTCTTTTTCAACTGTCTGTTGGCTATGTTTTCAAAAAAAGATTTTCCTAAAATTTTACTAAAAATTTAGGTTCTGTTTAAAGGTATGACCTTATAAAGTCTTAGTTGTTTGTGGTCTGCCATATGGCAAAGGTGAATCAAAGACCGTATCTGGGATATGATAATTGGTCACGCCCAAGTTTAGTTTTTTTTTGTGTTTTGACTTGATTTAAGTTCATCGCTTTAAGTTCATCGCAATTCCTTTTTTAAATGGAAATTAAACTACTTTTTTGAACAGCAAAATGTAAAGGTGACAAAAAAATTTATTCGACTTCTTTTTTCAAATGAACTTTTTTGCAGCTTTTCCAGCGGAAGAAAAAAATGTTTTTTGACCCGTTTTTTCAAATTGGGTTAACTTCATGAGAAAATTAATTTTTTTCCTTCATGACTCTTTTCTAACTGCCTGTTGTCTGTTTTAAACTAGAAATGTTCTGATTTTAGGGAATATTGTCCGTCTGTTTTTTGTCGGCTTCGGACTGTTTTTGAAGGTTCATTTTAGAAATAATTTTGAATGCCAGTTTTTCTGAGGATTTTTTTAATATATTTTTTGCTTCATTCATTACTCTGCACTAAATTATTACGTATGCGACAATTTTGCGCGTAATTAGCAAATGTATCAATTCTATCTATCGAATTGGTTTAGTTTACATTGTCGGTTGAGCGAAAAACTTCCTATGCGTGTTAGTTTTTTCAAGGGGTATTTTTTTGTATTTTAAAAAAAAATTGTCTCAACAGGCGTCTGTTCAAAAATTGCCTGCTTTGAAACCGCTTTGATTTTTTGCAAATTGAACTTTTTGCTGTTCATATTTTTTGCTGTTTGAAAAAATTAAATTTATTCAAGGCAAAGATATGAAAATTGTGGCGGATCTAGCTTTTCTCGACGCTTTCTAATTTTCGACATTGTGGATTTCTTAACACTTGCGAGACTTGCGAGACTAAGTTTATTTCATTTGGGAAGTAGACTTTTCCTGTAAACAATTTTTGCTACAAATCTGTTGCAGCCTAAGGTCTGGGGTTCTGGTCCCAGCCGGTCATTGTTCTTTTTTTCAGTATAATTGAAATTGATCTTTTTCAGGTCTGCTTATCTTTTGTTGTCTTACTTGCCGAATCGTGGAATGTTTTTGTGCTGACAGCAATTTTATCATAGATACAAATGTCTTAGAATTACTCCTGTGATTTATTTTTTTTCGCTTAAAATCTGTATTCGGCATAAATGGTTTGGGATTATCTTTTGTCGGCTTAGTTGCCTTATTTTGTGCTGCTTCAAGGGCACAAAATGTGCGATCGCAATCGTAGTGTTATAGAACATTCCAATTTTGTTTTTAGTCAAGTTGCACATTTAAGGCGAAGCTTATGCATATATCATGCAGAATATAATTTAGCTTTAACTTCATGGAAGCGCATTCTGTTTTGCCTAACTTCTGAGAAAAAAAGTATACTTGAGACTAGCTCAGGGCAACATAACATGGCTTGACTAATTGATTAACGCAAGTGAATCTTCGTTCGGAATTCCCGCTCCGAATCGTGCAATTATCGGTTTATTATTTTGATATTGATTTTCGTTTTTTTTTGCGATACAAGACTTAGAAACTTTGCGCGATACACGACGTAAAAACATGAGATGCTTGAAGCGATACTCGACTTAGAAACTTTGAGCTAGACAAGACTTGGTAATTTTAAGCGGTACTAGACTTAGATAGAGAACTTGAGCAAAATGTAGAACGGAACTCCTGGTCAAAAAGTTCTGGGTCGAACTCAATTGAAACGTTTTTCCTTGGTTGAACACAGTGGAAATATTTTTTCGCGGTCAAAATTCTTCTCGGTCGAAAAAAACTCTTAGGTCAAACTCAGCTGAAATGTTCTTTTTTGGTCCAAAACAATCCAAATGTTTTGTTGCGGTCGAAATTCTTATGGGTGAAAAAACTCCTTATTCGAACTCGATCGAAACGTTCTTCTTTGGTCGAACTTAGTCGAAACATAGACAGCTTGGGTCGAGTCAGGGTCGAGACAGCTTCAGCCTGGGTCGAGAAGGTACAAACATACCATTTTTTGGTCGAGTCAATCCAAACATAAATTACAAACCTCGACCCGAAACTGCAAACCAAAGTTGCGCAAATCACTTTGGTCGCGCAAAATGGCAACATATTGATTTTGAGTTGCGCAAAATCAAAAAACGTTTTTGCTTTAGTCGTGCAAAGTCGCACAAAAATTTCGGTCCCGCAAAGTCGCAAGATACCCATTTTGAGTCGCAATGGTTGCAACATACTTTTTTTGGGTCACAATGATCGCAACATGCCCATTTTCAGTCGCAATGGTCGCAACATAAGTCCCCAACCTCGACCCGGGAATGAGATCATTCATTTGGCTTAGAGAAAAGCAATATTTTTAGCCAATCAGAATTCAGTGTTTTGAGTTGTGACTCACTGCTTAAATTTTTGTTTTGGAAAGTGTTCACTTGGTGCAAATAGGCGTATATTGTCGTTGTAGCTTTAGAAAACTGTTAATATTATCGTAAACTACTACCACGAAAAAATTAAAAAGAATCGCAAAACAGAACTTCCCTACCTGTTGTTGTGAATATGATTGATTGATTGATATGACAAGTACACAAGCAACTTTTTGTGTTGTAAAACGATTTCTCTTTCTTCCGACCGGTCTACTGGTCTACCGACCATAATACTACCCGTACCCAGCATAAGTTCATTTTCTAGATAGAAATGTTTAATAGATTATCTCCCCAAGTTTTCTCGTTTTTTCTGTACCCCTTTAAACTAATATATCTCGACTCTGATAAGGTCATGCAGTATTTGTCGAAATACTGATGAGCATGAATACGGGGTTGTTTAAATACAGTCCGCTCTTTCAAATTATTTTTACTCTAAAAAAAACAAATACTTCTCCAAAACAAGACACGTGACAAGACTTGAAATGAACTTTTGAAAACTTGTATAAAAAATCATTTTTTTTTAGTTTTTCAGAGTAGGTAGAAATGGTTTATTTCTAACCTTAGACAAGAAATAAGAAATTTTTGTACAGAAAATACGAGAAAACTTGGGGAGATAATCTATTAAACATTTCTATCTAAAAAACGAACCTATGCTGGGTACGGGCCTAAGTCGCTTGTTTTTGTTTAATTTCAAGATATGTAAATTTTTCTTTTTAGTGTCAGTGAACATAAGTGTCAATCAAAACATGATGATCAAGAGTAATGAGCGTAGTGAAGACTCTTCTATAGGTCTTGCTGATTGTTTTTTTTTCAGGAAAAGTCTTAAAGTATTGATGCACTTAGGTATATATGCACTTTTTGAGTTCAATTGAAATTCATCTGCTGAAAATGACGTAAATATCACTCTCCAAATACGAACGTGGAAATGGCGCGAAAAAACGTGAACGATTTCTAGTTTCGAAAGTGGGATTTAATTATCAGATTTCCCAGCAAAACAAAAGTTTAACCTTTTGATCTAGTTTTCTCAAATTGGGTTAATGTTATCAACAAAGCGCCAATCATAAATCGTTCTGGAAATTCAAAGAGCTTAAAGAGCATCTATTTTTTTCTTTGAAAATCAAAAGTTTTTTCTATGAAGTCAGTCATGTTTTTGTCGGTTTGCTTGCTTTCATTGGCTCTTTTCCAACTGTCTGTTGGCTAAGTATAAAATTTCAATTATACTCATTTTGCTGTTTTTTGAAAAGTGCAGCTTTGCCTCACTGTTGTAGGGAATGATGAGGATGAGGGTTCAAACAACTACCACGATGAGTCATCGTCATCATCTTCTGCAGGAGTGAACAGATTAAAAGAAGAGTGTGAACAGATGTCGACTGAAGTTTGTAGGATCTATGGCACTCAACACACATGTACTGTAAGTCGAATAAATACTATTGGAAGTGTTTGAGTAGAAAAAACAACAACACTCCTGAAGGGATTTCGTGCCTCTTGTCTTATTTAAAAAATTCCTGTGTTACAATATTTTCGATTTTGGAGGCTCTTTATATCATTTAACAAATCGTCTTTTTGTGATAAAACACGCATAATTAGCAATAGTTTTCTATACACTGATTTTTTGCTTTCAATAAACACAATTTGTGAATTGATTTTGTCAAACGCGAAAAATCAACGAGCTTGCAATAAAAATTATGAAAGTTCATCGAAATTCCGCAACCGCTAACATAAATCTAACCCGGGTTGAAGTTGCACTGCAATTCAAAAATGTATCATAGATTGTAATTGGAGACGTTCAGCAATCAATTAATTTAATCGCTATCTAATTTTGAACACAATCCCCCCACCACCTCCACTTTCATGCAATTTTTTATTAGATATCGTAGGGAGGAATTGAGGGGGTAATAGTATTTTTAAAAAAATACACAGCAGTTTGTTAAAGCAACATTTTTAAAAAAAATTCAGATTTTTTGCATTATGCATTGTAATTCATTTGAAATCCATTATATGAATGGATTATATAGTAAGTAAAAAGTCACATTGAAATTGGTTTTTTCCGCTTTCTTTTTGCTTCGCGTCGTGCAAAATTTTGCAAGAATTTCAGCATTTGTCAAATGAGTAATGCGGAAACTTTGCAAAGCGAGTGTACGGCCTAATCCATTTCTAAATCTAAGCTGAACCACCAACCCCAAACCCCCTTCCCGGCCCTGAACTAACCCTCCCCCCGCACCTAAACCACAAACCCCCCGCACCTGAACCAAACCCCCGCACCTGAACCAAACCCCCCGAACCTGAAAAACCTAAAAATCCCCCAACATCAACCCTCCACTTTCAACCAATTCTTTACTAGATACCGTAGGGGGGCAATCCGCCACTGGTTCCAGCTGTGAGATTTGTTTCTGAGCAACGTGATTAAATTTTGTTGCTGTGTGAACTGTACAGGTGTTGCATATCTTCAACGAGACCTCTCTGATTGGGGAGTCCCGCGGTTGTGCATACAACATGGCCCTTCTCTTCCTCCTCTTGTCTTACCCGAACAGTGAGGTGGATGTGCATGTCAGACAGCTGAAGACACAGTACAATGAGATCATACACACCCTCAAAGCCAAAGGGTCGCTCACTCCAGACCTGCTCAACAGGTGAGATGAGTCCCTCTTTTTTATTAGCCCCCCGCCCTATTCCACTGTTCTACCCTTGGGCCTTTTCTTCCACGGGGGAGAGATATGTCATCCATTTTGAGGTAGCCGGTCCCATCTTCAAGAGGCGGATGACCCTGGGATCCCTCCAATCGTGCCCGAAACGGGATTCGAACCCAAGACCCAAGCCGCGCGTATTGCCCAATCAGCCATAAGTCTCTCTCAGAAGTTGTAGTAGCAGGAGGGTGAATGGGCATTAGTGTTTGAGAAGAGTCTATAGCGACTCGCCGAGGTTTTGCAAAGTTATTAATTCGCTTTTCCTGGGAAAAATTCTAGATTTGTCCGTAAAAGTAACGGAACCAACAAGATGTCGAAGAAACTTTGAAAACTCTTATAACTTTTTCGCATCCCCCTTTTGTTTTCAACCGAGCAGATTTTCAAGTTACATCTCAGCTTGGAGTACAGGGTGTAATGGCACATTTTAAAAATGGTCTAGACGTACCGTAATTGAAACACAGTTTAGAGTTTTTATAAACCTGCAAGTTTTTATCACGTGTTTCAGGTTTGAAAAATCAATGGCCGACGTGATCTTCAGTGTACTATGCTACGACACTTCCTCATCTGGGGTCCAAACACCTCAGAATTTGGACTCTATGTCTTCTCTATCTTTCCCTTCATCTCAAATGACATCGGCTGCTCCTAATGGAATCACCTTCGACTGTTCGCACGCCGTGCGCGGTGCACACTACTGCACCATACAGTGCTCAAACCACTTCTCTTCTACGCAAATGTCAACAAAAAAGCACCCCACGTGCTTATCTTACAGCTATTTTAAGTCAAAAACTCAATCAAAAAATTCTAATTTAGTATTAATTTTTATAGCCACACTTAGTCTGCTATTGCTCTTTATTTAAAATTTGATTACAATCTTATTTTTCAAATGCGCGCATATTGAATATTTCAAAATTATGTTGATGAAATTCATTTATTTGGCATTTTTTATATTTCTTATCATTAAAATTGAATTCATCTTGAAATCGACTGTTTTGGACGAGCTATTATAACATCGGTGTTTGTTGTGACCATTTGAAAAAGGGGGAGCAACTTGGTCTTCGGGTGTGTTTCAATTTTTTTTTGTTTTCTAACGACAATCAGTTAGCACAAATAATGATCGGACTGAGTTGGGTGATATATCACACTAGATCCATTTTAGTCGTGATGTGAACAATATTTTAAAAATTTTCAAAAAAAATTCTAGTGTCGAGAAAAACCGGTTTGAATTTTTTTTGTACTTTTTGTCATAATTTAAGCGAATAAAGCGAGCGAGCAAGCTTACGGTAGCTTGTTGCATTAGCTGAATTTGAGTCGTGAAAAATAAGTTTTCGTTGAAAAAATGTTGTTCAATTTGCTTATTTTACCATTACCGAAGAATATGCCTTAACTCTAGTTTTTCGCTCAAATCCTGTTATCGCACCCACCACGCAGAAAAAAAAACAACTGTAATTTGAAAATCTTTATTATCTTTGTTTATTTTATGGAATTGTATGATAAAATTCGGCTCTAAGATTAATACAAGATAAGGACTTTTTTGAACAAGAAATTTCTAAGACTATAAAAAAATTGCTTTTTTTGTAGTTCAGTGTTCAATACACTTGCAAGACCTATCTAATCAGGACCTAAATTTTTTCCCCAACTTATCTTGCAACTCTTTTTCTCGTTAGTTAACGTGATCCAGAGATAACGCGGTCAATAGATAACCGAGAGGTATGAAGCGGTCGAGATGTAACCCCGTTGCCTTTACATCCTACGGTCAGGGGTGCGAGTCTCGGCCAAAACTTGTTTTTTCTTTAAAAAAAGAATTGTTGGATATTCTTTTGCCTGCTCAACTTTAGTTGATGTATCAAAGATTTTTCTTGTGCTGTAAGCATTGTTACGTCAAGTTTCTTGTTTCATGGGGGACTTCAGAGATTTTGAGTTTTTTAAATATTTTTTTTTGCTCAGCTGGTGTTTGCTCAAAAATTGTCGGCTTAGTTGCCACATCACGAATTTTTGATGTCCTGCTAGCAACATTAACTGTAGCTAATTGTGCACGTGCTATTCATACTAGATTCACTTGGGACTTAACACTCGTAAAAAAATTTTTTTCTATAATCATGTTTTTTTTTCGGCTCAACTTAAGTCTTCCCAAAAATTGCCGGGTTTCTTTCCTCTTTATAAGTTTTGTTCCGTTGCTAAGTTAAGATGCAAATGTTTAGCATGTTTTTCTAGAATGAACTTCTATTATCTTGGACCTAGTTTGAAAAAATTCAATTTTTTTGTTTGTGTTATAGCGCAAGTAATGCAAAACTCCGCTTTGCTTCGGTGTAAAAACAACTGAAGAATAATAAATGCATATCTCGAATACGTATGAAAATTGTAAGATGGAGGAATCTCCCTACAAACCTTATGAGAAACTCGAAGATCGGGGAAATTTCTGTAGGATATTCAAAACGGGTCGCGTCATTACGAGGCCATACTCTACTACATCGGCGAATGAAATTCTGTAAACATATTCCAAAAAAAATAGTGGATTCCACTTTCAAAATTTCCGTACATTAGAGTAAAATTTGTCGGTACACCTGTTGTCGCGGATTCCGCAGCAAGCGAATATAACTAGTTGTTCTGCATTCCGCAAATTGTAGGCAGTTTCCCTAAATTTATGTGGGATCCGCAAAATTTGGAATCGGAATCCGCAAATGTTACGGACTCAGCAAATTTTAAGCTGATTCCGCAATTTTGTTTGTTAAACTAATACAAGCCAGCTCTTGCGTTTGAACAACTAAAAGCTAGAGCTTGAATTATTATCTAGCAAATGCGGAATTGAAAAGCAAGGTTCTAACCACTGTCAGCAGAATCCGCGAACATGTTAAATCATTGGTTAACTAAATTGTGGATGTAGCCTTTAGTATTTGGTATAAACTTTCCACCAATCAATTTGTAGAAGTATAGTTTTGGAAACACAAAACCATACATCACAAAACACAACGTAAGGTACAACTCGTCACCGAATAAAATCATTACTCAGAGTTGTGGGCTGGTTGAGAGCGATTTCAAATCATGAGGGCAAAAGTTGATGTTAGATGATAGTGAATTTAAATCATGAGAACAGTGTTTGAGATCAGACTGAATTCGAATCATGGGACGGAATTCAAATCATGACGGCAAAATTTTCATGTAATTACTACATCAATGTGGAATAAATCATTAATTATTCACATGCAATATCCCAAAAAAAGGCAAATATCATCATCGCTGTCATCCGATGTCTTTAAATGTATATTGCATTTCTCCCGGTTGCGTCTGATGTGATTAATCACTAATTAATCACATACGGTACCCTGAAATCAGTATAGATATTCATCGCTGTTATGTGATATCCTTAAATTTATAGGCTACTTATATATGATACTAGAATTCGCTAACAAAAAGCGGATTCCCGCAAACGAAAGCGGATTCCACTTCAGTTGCGGATTCCGCAACAGCGCAATTTTGCTATACCTATAGTTTATTATTTGTTTGCGGTTGGCACAAACTGCTCCAGATTTCAAACAAATTGTTGCGGATTCTTCAATTTTGCTCGTTGATGGAGCAATTTTGAGCAGTAGACTGTTTTAGTTATTTGTTTGTCGAGTCCAAAACCGCAAAGATAACCAAAGAAAAGTTGCGGATTCCGCGACAAATCTGATTTTGGCCGGCTGTGGATTCTGCCTACAATTCATATCATGCAAAATTTGGCCTCGTAATGGTTTAAACTCTTAGTGTTACCTATCATACAACCGGTAAAATGCTATTTATATCTTTCCCATGGTATGAAAACTGCATGGCTAGTATTGCTGCGTAGCTTCACTGAACTTAGCATAAATTTTTGAATTTTCAAATTTGAAACAAAATTTGAGGTACATGCTCTGGTCTTAAATTTAAAACCTTAAAAGTAAATTTGAATATGCAATTTAAGTATGAGCGTAATGGAACCTGATCTAAACTACATTTTATGATTGGATAAATTAGATACTTTACCACTGTAAAGTATTTAATATTAACCAATCATGATCCATCTAACTAACAACCCACTTATTTGTAAGTGCTGAAATTACTTGTAATTTCAGCACCAGAGAGATTTGAATTTAACTTAGAAATTAGTTGCCTCTCCAAGAGAACTTCAGCAGCCGCAATAAACCAGTATACCCTAGATCTATTGAGCCTAGCAGAGACTAGTTAAACAACCTGAGACTAGATAGTATAAGAGTAAGATTAGGATCGGTATTAGACTAAGAAGTTGCACGAATCTATCCGGCCGAAAATAAGATAGCGTGACGAGCAGACGGTGTACCCTATCCGAAATTACTCTATGAGTTAAGACCACCAGGAATAACTCATCTGGTGCGACCATAAGTCTCGAACAAGACCTTAATAGCTTAGAATTAACCAAAAATAGATTAGAATTTAGACAAAACATTTTTAAAATGTTACACGACGATAATTTAATCGAAATGTCTCTACGACTCAATAGATCAGAGCCAATATTCCGAACGATAATAGAACTACCCGGAATTGGAAGAAGACCTCGAACCAGAGACGACATACGACAAAGTAGAAACTTACCAAATAGTTATATGATAGTACGGCAAAAGCCAACACAAACTTTTATATTTAGAATTTTATTAGCAATGAATTTAGATTTTCATTTACAAACATAAAATCTTGAAGTCAATCTTCATAATCATTTCAGGCGCTAAACAAAACTATTAATATACAATAACGATTGATAAAAAGATCTCAGATCGTTTTCCTAAAATTCTGCAGTATTATATAAAACATGTTTGGAAAATATTTATTGAAAATCAAAACAAAAATTAGTAGCGTGACAATAAACTGTTAGTAATCATAAAATCATCAGTTGTCCCAGCTTCATCACCTAAAACATTACAGCAATCATAAGCTCACTAATATCATTAAAACACTAAATCTTTTTCTTAAATAAATTTAAACCATTTTAAACTTAAATTCACTTAATTTTAAAATCAGATCATCAAGGCTTATCCTTGGATCTTAATTAATTTTCTATTTTATTAAATTTAAAACCTGATCATCAAGGCCTATCCTTGGATCAAAAAGAACAATTTTGTTCTCCCCCAGCCACTTAGCTAGTGTCTAACGACCTCAAACGTCGATTTACTATCCACCCCTTTCAAAAAACCCAAGACTAATAGAAATTTTTGAACAAAACTAATCATTCAAATTAGGATAAACAGTGAAGAACTTCGGTTATTCATCCTTCACTTGAACCCTCCTCTTACCAGACCTAGGATAAATCTTAGACTTAGTAAGTTTAAAATAGTATCTAACGAACTACTCGCGTTCTAATTATACCTGAACCTTGTGGATCGATTTACTATTCTCCAACCCTTGAACACAATCACTACCCTTAAGTAAGATTAAGTAAGTTAACACCTTAGCTTATACTAGCCACGAGAAAGTAAAAAATCATTCTTCGGAATCGATATACTTTTCTCTCCAACCCTGAACAAATAGACCCAGGTTAAGCTAACCAAAAAATCGTAAGGACTAACAATTTAAGAAAATAGAAATCATCTAACAACTTTTTGCATCCGTCATCCTAAACCTTATGTCATTTAAAAATCTAGGAAACAAACAAACAATCGTTTTACAAAACTGTGAAATAGATAACAAAAAATACGACCTTGTAATCACACCTCATACACAAACAGTTGGACATATTAGAACAAAACGACAAACACTAAAAAACAAAATAATAACCAAACAAAGACAAATAACACGAAAAAAATTTTCCAAAAATAGAAACGCATTTTCAGAATCAGAAGCCAACAATTTAGACGAACTTTATAAATTAAAAGAATCTATAGATAAAAATTGCCCCATT